TTCCTTATTCTTGGCCGTCTTCACTTGTGGTATATGGTCTGCGCTTCTAGCCTTCTGAAAGAGAGGTTAGTTCCAACAATGGCTCAATTGCCGTGATCATCACTTGAAGCTTGTTGTCCCTTATTCATTATATGCAAGTAAGACATATTCATGAAGTCATTTGACTAATAAGATTGAGTATTCCGTAAGCGGACAGCAAGCAAATTCCCATCCATCTGCAATGGGCCCGCGCTAAGGACAAGGTTAGGTCTCAACAAAACAGAATTTTTGTCTTCTGGGAGAGAACGAAACCGGCACTTATTTCTGAAATGGGGAAGGGGGTCAGACTTAGCTAGGATATGAGAAAGTGCAGAAATTTCCCGACATTTTTTTCCTAACAGTTTGCCGACGAAGGGATTCAGAAATTCTACAGTAGCTATCTTAAAATCGCGAACTGTGGCTGTTTTCAACACTGTCGACTTAAATTTAGTTCAAAGCCAGGTATCCCTTGCACGGTAAGATGGAAGAAGGATGGCAATGGAATTTAAAAGTGGGGGCATGTTGTGGTAGTAGAAACGCGGGCCACAGGTTGAGTAGAATAAGTCTTGAAGGGTTTTTCTGAACCCTGTTGGATGACTCGGAGTTCGCATCGGTCAAATATTCCGAGCTTTCTCGACGCGCACTGTGATCAGATGGCCTTCAGTTTTCGGCTGCAGAGCTATATGAGATGGAAGCGACGAAGAATGGCAGCCTGACCCGTCTGAAAGCCAGCGCCTTCGTTCATGCACAGGATCCAAAACAACGCAGGGTAGCACGGCGATGCATTTCTTTTTCTAGGTGCGGCCGGTGGCACACTTCACACGGAAGTCCTTCAAAGAAAACTGACAAAAATAAGACTCCCTTTACGCACGTTCTCTTCACTTTGACCAACGTACATGTTTAGGAGCTCAGGTCCTTTGACGCTCAAAAAGGCGATTTTGAATTCCGTTGCCACAGCTAAAATTCGCACATATGTGTGATATCCATATGAATAACGAGAAAACAGACCCTTGGCGATGAGCGTTTTTCCACATCCAGGCGGTCCGAACAACATAATGCCCGACCTCTGTAGTCGAGAGCCTTGCAGATTTGCCTCAATGCTCTCGATGATGAGCCTTTTTGTTTCCTCAAAGCCGCCAACGTCGTCCCACGATACTGAAGGAATCTGAATGCTTATCGATGTGTTAAATGAAGCAGATTCCAATGAGTGATATAAAGGGCGGCTGGGATAAGAAGTAAGTATTGAAAGGGAGAATTAAGAATACAACACTGAAAAAGAAAATTAAAGCCAGTGGGCAGCAATTATCTAAAAAGATAGATAACCCCTTGAACTGCTGAAAGATTCCCTCCACGAGATCGTTCCCATGTTCAAAACACTTCTTGAAAGTCCCATTCTTGAAAAAAAGCAGAGGCCGCCACGTGCCACTTCAATGGCATCCTGAAGGGTGATGGATGGGAACTGGGCTGTTTTCAGCCATAAAAGTAAGAGGATGTATCCGACGGAAACACATTGTCCATAACCAATCAATTGATGATCTGTAAGATTAGCAGGGTCATATGTTACCTCTTCTCACAAATTAATAACGCTCCTTTCTGGAGGACTACAATGCGGCACGGCTGCCATAACCACGGAAGAACTAAATTTACTGTCAAAGGTAAGCCTCGGGATAAAGTGGGTGTGTAAAGTCTTCGGTAATGGAGCTAAGGTGAAGGGAAATCCGGAAAAGAAAAAGAAAGCAAGAGAAACACCCCCAAAAACGTTACTATATTTCAGCCGCATTCCTTCGTGGTGTAGAGAAGGGACGAGTTTAACGTCCCAGCTACTCCTGTGCCAATGACATTGCACCGCAGTGCAACCATTGCCGCAACTGCGCCCGCGCTTTTCCGCAG